ATAGCTTCCAAACAAACGCGAGCAGACAGTGGAAATTTCTCCACAGCGTAAAGAGAAGATAGATAAATCAGCGGACGAGTTTTGACTTGAATCGCAAAAGCGACTGATTTTTTACCACCCGTTTACATTTCAAGTTGCAAGAAAAACATTGAAAATTCGAACGCAACCACAAAGAAAAATCCATAACTTCTAAACCAGCAGGTGCAATAAGTTGACATTTTTACATCGCATAGAGAACTTCCGCACAGTATAAACTTTTACATTCGTTTAAATTCGAAGTTGCAACAAAAATCGCAAAAATTCTTACACAACTGCAAAGAAAAAGCCCCAAACCAGCCGGAGCAATAAACTGAAATTTCTTCACAGAATAAACCCAAAGAAGGCAAATTTGCTAACAGACTTTGACGCAAATCTGAATCTTCAATTTTTTCTCACTTCAAGCTGCAACAAAAATATTTAAAATTTTGACGAAACCTGAAAAAATCACAGCATCCAAACCAGCCCGAATATTCACTTGAAATTTCTGCACAGTACAGGTAGAGGACCAGAAAACATGCTGAGGGGCCAACTTTCACAAAAATCTAAATACTGAGCATTTTTTTACAGTCGATCATATTTGAAGCTGCACCGAAAATCGTTGCAAATATTCTACATATACAGCAAAAACACGAAACACCAAAGCATAGTCACTAAATATTACACAAATCCGAACATTGAAAAATTTTGAACAATCGTTTATTTTTGAAGCTGCAACAAAAATCTTCGAAAATCGAAAAAAAGTGCACCCATACATTGTTACTGTGTGTTTTTTACCCAAGTTCTGCCCCTCTTGGAACAGATTCTTTCACTTCTTCTTATTATGTTCACCTAGAGGAATTTTAGTGTAAATTACACCAATACGCTGAGTGTCCAGAGAATGGCAATGCATAATTGAAAAGCACACAATTATCATGTAGTAATTTGAACGCTGTTTATGGGGCAATCGATATAAATATAAATGTTTAATAATAATTACACATTGATTCAATTTACTGTGTTTGCATGGCTAAATGGCGGTCGTAAATCGCCCGAGGCCTGTATAGGTCGATCAGCCATCCACAATGTTTTAAGAGCAATCTGGGCATCGACAGTAATTAAAAATAACGGCAGTGCATTAATCCATAAAATTGCTGTGTTTCCAGATTTATTGAGCCGTTTCCCAAAGATTACAATGCCGTGATTTATCACCGCTAGGCCTGGAACTAGAATTTTAAATATAGAATCTATTTCGGATAGAGCTTGATCGATATGGCAGGATTTCCCTATTCCGCGCAAAAGTCTGCACCATGCCGGGCTGCACAGCTCGTTAAAAGTCGAATTTCGAGTGGACTTTGAATATTTACTGCAGTTGAAATAAAACAAAACTTCTTAATAGCCTTTAATAAGTGCTTATTACAAACTCCTCCGCAAGTCTCGTAAACCAGCATCTGTCACGGGTCGTTAAACCGTGTTTATTTATAATTCTCGTTAGTTAAACTTAAATTAAAACAAGCCAAATAACGCTTCTGGCTTCGAATTGACGAGCTTTTCAAAAAGTTAACACCTTTTGTCGTGAAATGCATCATGGAAAGGGATACTTTATGTATCGTTTGTTTGGAAGCTTTGAAGCTGATGGAGTGATAATTGATGGGTGGTTTACTTTGCTTTCAATCCAAAGCTTTGGATTTGTGATGTTTTTCAAATTTCTGGCGCTTTGAGCTAATTTTGCCGGATTTTATTAGCTTTCAGTCTTCCAACAAATGTCGTGAATTCTTGAAATGCAACAGCAAATATGGCAAACAGTTGATGTTCAGGCTTGAATGGAACTCGATCTGTATGTTTCTGTAACTCGTCTTTTTTTTTAATTACTTTTCAGTCTCAAATATGTTTTGACTTCTGAAACGACTCATCATCAGGGGCCAGCCAGGAGTGGAAAAAATTTCTGGTAAAAGTGAATATTTTTTTTTCGATCGAAGATTTTGCTGCAGCTTCAAACATCAACGAATTTTTGCGTTTCCTCTTTTTACTGTATAGAAGTTTCAACGTACTCGTTTGGTTAGTTTGGGAATTATAAATTACTCTTTGTTGCAAAACGATTGCAAAAAATTAATCAATATTCAGATTTTAGCTAAAGTTGGCCAGAATGTTTTCGCCTCCTGTACTTATACTGGGAATTTCAACTGAGTCTTCAGGCTGGTGTGGATTCTGTGAATTTTTTTTCTGGTTGCGTCAGAGTTTTCTAGATTTTCGTTCGCAGCTTCAAAGGAGAAAAATAAAGATTCAGTAGATGTTACTACTAGATGTTGGATATTTGCCTTTTCTAGGTTTATTCTGTGATGAAATGTCAGCTTATTGCTCCGGCTGGTTTGGAAGTTTCGGATTTTTCTGAGTAGTTGTGAAGATTTCCTGCAGCTTCAACTTTAACAGAGTGTAAAAATTCAGGCGGGTTCGAAAATCCAGTCAAATCCGATCAGCGTGTTTCTCCGTCTCGTGTTTATGCTGTGCGGAAAGTTCAACGTAATTGTATGGCTGGTTTAGGAGTTATGATTTTTTCTTTGTGGGTGTGTTAGATTTCTTCAAAATTAAGTTGCAACTTCAAATTTCAATTATGGCAAAAAATCAGCCAGTATTCAGATTAAAGTCAAAGTCGATCAGCCTGTTTCTCCATCTGATGTTTATACTGAGGAGAAGATTCAAGTTCCTTTTCGGGTTGGTTTGGAAGTAGCGAATTTTCTTTGTGAGTGTGTGAAGTTTTGAAAGATTTTCGTTACGGCCTCAAATAGAAACGATTGTACAAAATAATTCAGTGTTCACATTTGCGTCAAATTCAATCAAATTTAAACTGAATGCTTCTGCTAGTTTGTGTGTGTAGCAAATTATTCTTTGTAGGTGCATAATTTTTTTTTAAATTCTCGAGCCTCCAATAGAGCAGATGTTTAAGTTTCAGTCTGCACCAAAACTCAAGGAAAATTCGGCCAAAATATTTCTCTGTTTGGTGTTTATGCTGCGTCTGTTGAGCTTATATTTTCTTCATTACTTTGGCGATTTAAAAAGAGAATTTCAGCAAAATCAAACCTTCAGCCTTCCTTCCAGGCTGGATTTAGTTCGACTGTTCGAAATCGGATAAAACTAATCAACGTAATTGGCTTATGGGTTAAAGTTTGGGAAATGACGACACAGGCTGGAATAACACACGAAGCTAATGCCATTATTCATTCAGCTGAGGCGGGGTTGAGGAAATATTTTCTAGTAAGTTTTACGATCCTCTTCGGTGTCACACAATAAGCTTTAACCTGAATTGCCCTCCGCCCTGGCTTCAAACTTTATTGCTCCAGCCGGGAAAATGAGTCGGTTATTTCAAGACAGGACATGCAGTAAAACATGCACAAGACATGAAGATGGATGATTCATTGTCACAATTTCTGTCCACACTTGTCAGCTCTTGCACATTCCACTGGTAGTAAAGTGGCTGATTTATCAATGTCCACAACCGTGAAACATGTTTGAAATCATTGCATTTTTATTCTCGTTTAGTATTGGAAATGCATTACTGTTTTAGGTGGAAGTTCTGCCGACAAAATGCCATCCAAAGAAGGCAAATCACATTGATATGCTACTTTGGTTTAAAAATGTATCTGTGAAAGAATTTTCCTCGCTGATTCTCTGATCTGCTGGTTTTTGTTGTCAACAGATTATTAGTTATGACTTTTTCATTTCCGTCGAGATTCCAGGTGAAATTTCTCCTGTAGATTGCCGTAAGCTCTGGTAGATTTGTGTAGAAATCGGAACTCTCTGAGTGTGTTACTTTGAGAGCCCTGAATTTTTCTTTGTGGGGGTGTAAAAGTTTTCAATATTTTCGTTGCAGACACATACAAAATGGATTGTAAAAATTCAGTTGAAGCTCAACTTTGCACTAAATTCGGTGTGTAGATTGCGGTGATCTTTGTTCCCTTTGTGTAGAAATCCTAAATGATAGAGCGGATTAGTTTGAGAGTGATAATTTTTTCCCTGTGGGGTGTACAAGTTTTCAATGTTCAGGTTGCAACCGCAAACATAATCGAGCGTGAAAAATCGGCCGATGCTCCAATTGGAGTCAAATTCGGTCTTCGCCTTCCTGTATATCCACTCTACACTTTTATATTGATGTAAAATTTCCAAATTTTATTTTTGAAAAAATACGACTTTAGCACAGTTGCCTTGATCAAAGACTGGGTTCAGTCTGTCTCCAAAACATTAACTCAGAGCTAAACTGATCTCAGCAGTTTGCTATTTTGGGCCATCTGAGATCCAGCTCTGCAAGCCAAGTTAACGATTTGCGATTACTTAGACTGGTCACTTCAGTTAGCCAACATTCAATTTCCTGTCTGGGCAGCTTTTAACTACACAGGATCACGTTTCGCAGCCATAATTCAGTCTTCTAGACACTTTATCGTTGGAAAATCATCATTAGTTCTCATCGGAAGATTGGGTTGGGGGAGCCATGCTCGCGCAAATTTCCCTAACCCGACGGAACGTGAGGCGAGCACACCGGCCATAAATCTCGCTAGTTCGACTGAACTATATTTCTCCCGATGGAGGAATGAGCCGCCCCCTATCTTGCCAAAACTTATAATGTTGATTTAAGTTGAGGGCGGTTCGAAGGCGACAAAGATAAATATATGGAGAGCCAAAATGTTTTGACGCCGCTAAAGTTTCTCTTATCGAACAAATTAGCGCTCGGACCTGAACAAGGGCGCAACACATCGCAAAAAACTAATACTCTACGGGTAACTGAGCCGACAGCCGGTCATCCAACCCTTTTTACCGCAAAAAGTGTCGGCTTTCAACTAAAACCCCAAACAAAGGCGTGTGTTTAGCCGAAAGTTCGTCTAAGGTAAGCACAACTGTAGCCCTCAGCAAGCTAAGTCCTATTTTCGCTTTTAAGGGCATTTGCATTTCATAAAGCCAGCCGATAGGAGATTATTTTCCGGTTAGTTACTTACGGTTTTTGGCGCCCCTTTCGCTTCTGATCAGCACCTCATGGTCATCTTCTTCCCAAACTTCTCCTTCGGCCACCACGCAGGCCACCAAAATCGTGACTGTGAAGAAAACTAGCCACTTCATCTGAAAAGGAATTGTTGCGTGTATTTTTGTGATAAATCGAGCAATGAGGTGATTGAAAGTGCAGCTCAGAAAGAGTCATTAATATCAAGCCCAGAAAAAGCAGGCGGACATCGATGAATGTAACATAATGATAAATCTGAAGAGACATCAATCAGGGCGCAGTTAATGTGGCACACAACAGCTGAACAAATCCATATATAGAGATAAAGGTAACTTCATGTTTAATTTAACGGAAACGATTAACCTGATACGATAATGGACAGTTCCCTGGAACGATAAAAATCGGGAAAAACTCAATCGCTTGAAAGATACGTTATTAAATGGCAGGGCCTTTCCATAATGGAGCTGATAATTTATGACATTGGAGAATGGCAAAATACACAGCAGGCTTATTTATTTCCGTTTGTGTTTCCCTAATTGCTTTCTATTCAAGAGGCTGACGATTGTATGAATCGCAATTATCAACTATGCCGTCGCTGAAACGGAACATTGCTGAATTATCCAAGTTTTCACGAATTCGGATCTCATATGAACAGTTGGAAACTATTAATTAGCCAGTGGTTACTGATTTAACGTTTCAATGTACAAAATCTAACAATCTTAAAATATTAATAAAATCCTGGCTATTTGCACACACTCAAGCTAGATATTTACAAAATTTTGGAAAGGTTCAAGTTTCTTTGAGACGCCCTCCTGCATGTTAAAGTGTAAAACTGTGTTTGCTATTTCTGACCAAATTTCCAAAGGTTATGGAACTAAAAACTAGAGTTTTTGCTCATTTTGCAACAAAATAGATCAAGCAACTTCATGTCGAACAACCTCAACATAAATTGGTTGCGCAAAATCAATCCTTGCTTTCATTTGAGTGAAATTTTTATTGGAAGGAGACTACTAAAGAGCCATAGAGCTTTTTGATTTTTTTTTGCGAAAAATCTAATTGAAATAGTTGTACTTTGACGATTTTTCAAATATGGCAAAAAATACAATCAGTGATTTAAAATAAATATTAGAAATCCGGCGATTAAAGGATTAGTGCAAATATTGCAGAAACCCGAAAGGAAAAACAATGTCCATAAAAATCGTTCGAGAAGTGCAAACTCTCCGCAAATCCACTTAAGCCATAACTCTGTTTTGACAACTCCGCCCATAAAAATAAGAGAAAACCCCAATTTCCGAAGGATAAACTTATTAAAACGTTCGGTTTTTGATGGATTTTCACCTCGAGGTTGGGTCAAAAGTCGGGCACGTAACACTCAGATATAGCGCTAGCAATTTTCCGTATCGACGCTAAAATATATTGGCTCTTTAACTTGGAAAAGGATTTTATGGAAAAGCGGTTGGATCTTTTTAATTGAAAATTTTCGAGATACAACTGAACGTTTCGCCTTTAGAAGCCGTTTTCGTTGCTTATGAGCGAAACAAGGCCCAATTATTAATCCTTGTATTAAAACGAGACAACGCAAGCTTTTGTAGGCGGAGCTAGTTAGTAGGAGGAGTTCAGAGATGTCTGCTCCCTCTAATAGACGCACTTTGGAAATTTGCCTTGTTTTACTCATTCAAACTCAATTTTTGCCAAAATAAACCTAAAGTACTTCCGCAATTCATTTCGGTGGCGTTTCATTCCTCCTCAAACTTTAAGCGCTTTTTCAAAAATTTAGTAGAGCAAGTAGCAACTGGAAACTTTTGCAAGCAATAGCAGCCATTTCGATGTAAAAATGGTAACATTTTCATTAAATTGGCACTAAAACCTGATTTTTTCGTACTTTGCAAACGTTAGTCTAAACCAGAAGGTTTATTCATAAAGGCACGATTGTTCCAAAAAATTTGTAACTCCTAATCTGGGTAGTTTCTGAGGCTTTCACAGAAAAATGATTTAGAAATGGCAATATTTTAATCAAATTTGCATTAAATTGGCATTAAATTTGTTGTATAGATAAACGCATGCTTTTAAAAATTTTGTAACTTCTAATCCGGGTTAAGTGCGAACTTGAAAGTTTTACCAGGTCTAGTATATGCTTCAGTTTACAAATTGAATATTTTTTTGTGAAAATCGCACTAAATTTTGGTTTTTTATTGTTATTTGAAGGCGCATTTAAATTTTCATTATACCAAATTCACCACCACCAAGGTGAATCGGTTTTTGTATTGCGTGCTGGATCTAGTGGAGAAATAACTGTGAAAACGTACTGCAATACTAGAAGATCACTAGATTAGAGACTAGAGGTAGCAAAAGAAACAATTTATATGCGCATACTTTTATCATTCAGCGCAGTTTAAGTACCGCTAAACCTCTAAATCATCTGACTCCTACCTACGATCCATATTCGGAATCAATTTCCCCAAAACCCATTTAGCCCCCTTAGAGGGTTCGTTCACCGAATAGAAACAAACAAGGCTTTGTTTTTGATTTATTTCGAGGGAATTGCTAACCGCACCCCCAGATCCATTAATTAAAACTTTTTGGTTCGATCCAACCGTCCTGAGGGTGGGATTTTTAACCCGATTTTTAATTACTCCGGGTTAGACTATCGGATATCGTGTCACGGACTCGGGGAGAAATATAATGCCGTCGTTACATTTTATGATTTCGTCATTAAACAAATGATCTCTCAGCCTCTACGTCGTTTCGAATACGTAAAATTTCTTTGTTTTGCGTTTTTTCAGCAGCAGCAGCTTTGCGATTTATCAGTATTTGGGGTGGCAAGTGACTGCTTGGTCTAAAACCATTGATTGATATGGAAAATGTACATTTCTGGCCTAAAATCGTGCTTTAGATAAAGTTTCTAAAGGGTGTAAAATCGAACAATGCAAAATTGGTGAAAAAATTAAAAAATGTTTTTTTGCCGTAAAAAGCGGACCAAAAGCAGAAGAGATACCGCTGCAAGTCCAAACGACCACCACGGGGTGGTGTTTTACAGTTTACAGAAACAATAGGGATGTCGAGCTATTTTCCTTAGTTTTGAACTTTTGGTGTTTTCATCCAAAAAACCTTTTCTTGTCCACGACGAACTTTCCGAAATTTAGCGTTTTTTATTTGCCCCCGTGAAAATTTGCCTGAGATGCGTAATTTTTATCAAAATTTTAATAATATTTTAATAATAAATTAACTAATAGAAAACAAATTACGCTAATAAAGCTTCTAACAGAACCCAAATCGATTGAAGCAATCAGGATTTATCCAGTCCCAAAATTGGGACATATTTAGCTTTGAGCAGTTTAATTAGATCGGTTTTATAATGCGGATTAAACTGAGTTAATGACAGTTTTACCTGCCGCAAATCGTGTAGTGATAAGCAAATTTACACAAAAACTACCGCTGGTCCTAAAAGAGAAAACAGGGTAACCATTTTCGCCTTATAAAAGCTTCCATCGGAACATTTAATAAGCCTCTATAACGGTTTTCTCGGGGTAATTTTGAGGCTGCTGTTTTGCATGAAACTATTACAGTATTTTAACTTTAGCTTCGCAGATTTGCAAGTAACCGGTTCAATTTAACTAAATACTCCTTTTAAGTTGGTGGAATTAAAATCACCCTATAATTGGCAAAAACGTTTGGAAAACAATTTGAAGTTTTCCCGTTGAATTGTGCTAATTGAGTCTTTGAAACGCTTATTTGGTTCGCTTCTGTTTTGCCGTTGAGGATGGTGGTTACAAATTTAAAGGAAACGTCAGCCATAAATATCGATCGGCCACACAAATTGGGTTCGAAAGCATCTAATTTAAATCAGACCCCCTTAGAACTTTCCATTAGAATTAGACTAGAACTTGGAAACATTTAATTTATCAACATACGGCAGGATGAAAAACACACTCTATTCAAGCCGATGTTCACGATTTAAAAAAGTTTAACAATTAATAAGCAAATAAACTCTCAGTGCTAGCGCTCTGTGTCCTCTTCATATCTGTTTGAACAACTTTAATGCGAAAACTATCACATAAGAGAGCACGTACTGGATCGAAGGAACAGTCTCTACAGTGAAACTTGGACAATAAATCATTTCGAGGATGGCAGGTTGAAATGTAGAAAAATTTTAGCTGCTCCTCCACTCGCGACATCACCAACTTTCCTAAAAGCTCGTGTCATTTACTTTCCGGAAACTTTGCGGAGGACAAAAGGTCAAAAGTTGAGGAGTAGTTTGGTCTCTGTCCGGAGAATGAGGCATTTTAATTATAGTCCTACCGGACAATGGAAAACGGAGAGTTCAACTGTGTGTAAAACACTAGTGGAAAATGTGTAATTAATCTGCTGCCACGCATTTGAGTTGATCTCTGACACTGCTTATCGGCAAGGATCGGAAGTTAAACGATCCAATTAAATAGAAATAACCAATTTCTGATATGCGACTAATTGAATTAATTGAGGGGAGTGACGCAATGTGTTTTGAGGTCAGAAAAATAATTTAATGGGAACCCAAACACCAGCTTCACTTGTTATCTTGGCGCCTCTTCCCATGGCTATCTAAAGAGAATTGGCTGTGGATGTTCGCAGCACCAAAATTAACCGCATCATAAACCCATAAATTCCTTGTCTTCATTAGATGATAATTCAAATTTATGGTCTTAAAGAGATTTCAACTTTGAAAATATTACACCATCCTTCCTGTGTCGCCCATTTTATTAAAATATTCCCTAATTAGAAATTACTGCAAACAAGCCGTCGACTTTTCTCGGTTCCCTCTCCCCATTTTCGCTTTGTATTAAATGTAATAAATGGCCGGATTGTCAAAGCAATATAATTTTTAAATTGAAAGCTCTCTTAATTTATGACTACATCAGTTGGTTGGTGGATTTTCTCAAAGAAAACTTGTATTTTACAAGTATTAAACAGAGGTTTAATTAGAAAAACGTGATGTTTTTCAGCTGCTGGCAAACTGTAACCCGCTGGGAAATCTGTGAAATATTTGCCAAACTGAGTTGGTTTGTTGGTTTGCGCCAAACTTTTCTCAATTGCTCCTACTCAGCCGCAAAATTTCGCTGTTTACTTCACATTTTCTGACCTTTAAACGTTAATTATTACTGTAGGAAAAAAACGAAATAAGGCGCTTTGCAACAATTAGCTTTTAAATTGCCGGCAATTACCCGAATCCCAAACGGATAGAAAAAACAAGCAAAAACAGAAAAAATTAAGTGAAAAACTTATAGCTTCCAGGTGAGCAATCTTTCTCTCGGGATTTAATGGAAACTCGCTGCTAATTCCTATCATTTCCACCTGCGAAACTGGATTAAACATTTATTACTCTCGAGCGGAAATTTGTTTTAATAACTGTTTTTATTTGGCACACTGCAATTTTATGCGGACTGCAAACCCGTGTTTATAATTGGGAGTGATGAAATTGCAGCCAAATTGCATTTTTTCCTAAATTACAAGTCAAGGATCAAAAATTATTGTAGTGAGTCGGAGCTGGTTTTTTAGAGCAAATTCTAAATAATTATTTATTATCAACTATTGTACTATTATTAGAATAACCAATTAATGGGAGAGTGATTTTTAATTTCAATGTTGCTCCATATTTCCAAGTTTGAATATTTTGCCTTCAAACTATGGAAGAAATTAACATTTTCAAGGTGAGGAATAATATATAAGAAAAGGTGCGGCTATTCACGTTTTCAAGCTGTAGTGCACCTAAAGAAGAAAATTAAATTCATCACTACTATTTTCTGTTTCTACCTCAATAAACATTCTCTTGCTTTGATGCCAAGCAAATTTAGAACGAAACAGAACAATGTGAGTTTTTTTGTCTAAAACTGAAATTAATACGGTTTCTTGCTTGTTTTTCTCACAGCTTTCTTATGAAAATATGATTTCGTTATGGGCATTTTTCGCCTCTTCTTGAGAAACAGTGAAGTCATTTATAAGAAACATAAATGTACACTTTCCAAACTTTCCTTTGCTTTTTGTGATTTTTTGGTTTTCATTCAATTAAAATAGTCCTTCGTAATTCACACGTAAGTCACACGCAATGAAGCATAAACTGATACTTCCGAACTTGGCATAAATTTATAGCTGGAAAATTCCTTGCAAAAAAATCGCCCCTCGTAAGTAAACCGATGCAATCGAAGGAGAGCGAGAGCACTCGACTATTTCCCTCCATATGCAAAGGAGCGAGAGAAACATATCAATCGCCAAGGAAACCGGAACGTCCTTGTCCTTCTTGACCAGTATACGAGAGCTGATCGATAAATGAACTGAGCGACTGGGCAAATTAGTTATTAGCAAGTCAACCTTTAGGAAACCGATTTGAAATAATTGCGAAATATGTTGGCAGCTGAGAGACTTTCAAAAATTTATAAATTATGTACAAATGTAAAAAATTTAGATTTTTTGAAAATTGCATCAACATTTAGAGGAGTATTATGGAAATTTTGAAAACGTTTTATTTAAACGTTTAAACCATTTAGTTAACTGGCAGAAATCAGGGCTTTGGGTGTTTCTGATGAAAATTTACACAGTTTTAGAGCCAAACGTGCTCGACGCACGGTACAATTTTCAAGCTCACGCCTGCTATAGTTTGCAAGTTGCGAATTTTTGAAGAAGAGGACGCAGTTGAATGTAAAATCCCCGATCAGACTAAAGATTACTCCGCTGGTAAAAATCGAAATTTTTGGAGAATTTACTCAAAATATCACTATATTTCTAGTCAAGTTTCTGCAAAGCGCTGTGGAAGTTTCAAGTTGGTACTTGCTCTAGTTTTAGAGCCAAGAATTTTTAAAGACAGGATGAAGTCGGCTGAAAAATACACTTTTAGATCAACAACTGAAAATCTGAAAAAATCAGAATTTTTGACTATTGTTATGGAAATCTTTCGAGAGAAGCGTATTTTAAGGACTGTAAAAGTGCCAAGTTGCTACTTGCTCTGTTTTGGGAGTTAGAAATTGTTCAAAGGAGGATCTCGATTGGTGAATATTTTGCACAAAACCTTCAAAAAATCCAGAACTATTCAAATGGTTCGCAACTACAATATAATGTATTTTATGCCCCAATATTTGGTAAAAATAACAGTAGAACCTGCGGTGCGAGCGTAAATTTCACTAAAAAAATACACAAAATTCCCCCAAATTAATTTGGCTGTACAGAAATGCACAGCAAAATAAACTTTCCCAAAGCCTCACCTTTAAAACAGACACTCGATACACAATAAACCGTATTGGAGAAGAATTATTGTCTTCGACACAGCAAGCACAATGAACGTTCACAGACAACGAGCGAGCAACCGAACAGTTTTGATAATTCGTTGTCGATAAAGACGAAATTAGCAAAATGTGTTTCCAGTTCCCAGCCTGATAATGGAGCAGACTTCCATAAAAGCGCACTTTCGTGCTCTTTTATAAACAGCAGCTTTTTGGAACTGGACTGAACTTATCGGACATTGCGGTTTGTTCTGGAGGCCGATAAGCTGCCGAACGATACCACATTTAAATTTAAGGGCCCTGCTCAGGGAAATTTAAATAATGTTTAAATGTGTTAATTTGTCAAAAGAATATTTTGTTGATTTAAGATAGCAGTACGATTTAATGGCATATTTCGCAAGCATAATTCACAGATTATCACGTAAATCGACCATTCTGGTACTTGAACTGGTGCCTTCAGTAAATACCAATAAACCTCTTTCCAATTTTTATCACTAAAAACGAAATTGCTCGAGTACAATTTGTTTAATTTGGTATTGAAACTACCACAAGCTCTTGCAATCAGTGTCGACTAATGATGCTAAAAATGCAAGTGTTTAGACTAAAGTAAATTCGGAGATTTAACAATAATAATACATTGTTGATGCCAGAAATATTTCGAAAACATCAACACAATCCCGGTCAATGGTTCATCGTGAAAGTTAATCTCGATATTACATTGCCATTTGGGGGAAATATGTTTGTGCTTTAAACGGGCTTAAACTTGGAACTCGAGGTCCAGACGCGGCTTATTGGCCATTATTCAACTTTGTATCGGCAAATATTTGGTAACATTTCGATGTTTAGGGTTATATATAGCATTTGGATCACGTATTATGTTAATGTTGATTGGTGAGGCTGGAGAATGCAATGAAAGTTGAAAGAAAGAAGAATAAATATTGGCAAGTGACCAGAATAAGAAGCCACCAAGTTCAATGGTCTGCTGCTTCATTGCTTCATTAAAAAATCACAAAATTTCTGCAAAAATTGCAACAAACTGAAGCTTTAGTTATAAGAGGAATCAGACAGTATGAAAAGAAGATTCTGGATTCGGATACAGTGGAATTAAAAGGGAACAACATGAAATCTGGAAGGTTTAGATGAGAGGAAATGAAACAAACTTGAAAATGGGGTGCTTCATAACCCAAAGTACAAAAAAACAAATAATTTGATGAACAGCAATAAAAAAACACACATATATTGCTGGCGCATTAACGAGGTGTTGAGACAAACCTGGATTTTTCTGTGTCCTGCTCTTGGACAGAAAACAAATAGAAACCGAATTTCCAGAAGAAAACATTGTGTGGATAGCGAAAACTCATAGGAGCATTTCGAGCAGTACATGGGCACTTCATCCAGCCAATTGATGGTTTCACGGCACTCGAGAGACACATAAACCGATGGCCTTTGTCGATGTAATTAATTAGAAATGTGGTGAGTTATGACGATATCAGAAGTGGAGTAATTAATACGACGATAATGGCACACGCAAGCATGGAGGGCTGTTTGGATAAGAGCGGAAAATGGTATCGGAATGCATATATGCAGAAGTAATGGAAATTTTATTTCACTTTACAAAATGACTGAACTCTTCCAAGGGAATCCCAAGCCGGCAAATGATCGATTGATATTTCCCGCGAACACTTTTATAGATTGAATTGATGTTTATTGTGTCTTTTTGATGATTTTGTGTCCTTTTGTTCATGGCTGGGTTGAACGTGAGCCTTCTCCCACTTTGCCTCACTCCTAATCAATGACTAAGTCAGAGCACGTTGTTCTTTGATTGAAACGAATAAACCCAAACTCCACTTGACTTTATATGGCTCTATAGTCTACATGGAGTTTTTTACGCTTTGCCTTCTTGGGCGCTTTGCCAACACGCTTGAACTGGAAATCTGCATTTTTCGCCTAATGCGAAGGTGACTTTAAGAGTTAATGTAGAACGCCTCCTCCCACTTGGATCATTTCCACTTTGAGATTTTTCAGCGCTCCTGCAAAGGGTGATGATTAATCTTGCTCTATATGGCACCCTTTCCGACTCTTTGTTTAATTGTCCCGTCTATAAAAGCAGAGTTTCGTCAAAGAAGACAACTGTATTTGAAGACTCTTGACTTTCTTGTCTTCAATTTACTGTCTAGTTTGCGCCCCATTTACTATTTTTTCGTTATTCAGTTGATTAAACACATTGTCCCAGTTCCAGAGTTTCCTAATAAGCCGCTCAAAGTTTCTTGGCAAAACTTATTATCATACATTCATTTATGGCCCTTATGCGACTCATATCGGCCATTTCTCCAACAAAAGGATGTTCCCAATTATTCCGTCTTGTACTTCATCCGCATTTCCCCGAGGTTGGTGATGGCTCAATTGTTTTCAAGGATATAATTTTCCCTTGCTTTTGGACTTAGTTTATTCGGGCTTTTCCTCCATTTTCCTGGTTTTTAGGCAATAAAAATACACAAAATTGTTCCATTAAGCTCATGTGCTTCCTCAACTTTAATCAGTCATTTGGGCAGCGAATTATTCTTCCTCATTTCCAGTTGGATAACCATGGACGAACTGTTTTCAAGGAGATAAAGTTCTGACGCCTCTAGATCTAGTGATAATTAATCTCGTTTCATGTCGGCGCTTTAAGAATTCCTTTACTTAATTTTCCTGTTTGAGGGAGCCGATGAAAGCAGATTCTCTTGAATTAAAACGCTACTTTTGCACTGAAAGAAGCTTAGCGCCACCATAAAGAAATAACACTTGACTTTGTAATTTATAAGCCACTAGTGGCTTAGTTTGGGTCGGTTGCGTTACACTTGGCAAGCAAAAAATGATCGCTTTAATCTCCTGGAGTGGAAAATTAATACTGGACAAGTCAAACGAAACTAAATCATAAATGCAAAATCCCCTGTTTTCCAAGCCCCATTTACGGATCTTAACAATAGCTTAAATTCGCCTCTTTGCGACTGATTTTGCAACAAAGAAAATTCCCAATTATTCCTTCCTTCACTCTGCCCGCATTTTCGTTATTTTGGCTTTGTTAGCCAGGGCCGAATTGTCTTCAGGGACGTCATTTTTAAACCCAGGCAAAATTATATTAATCTTTCCAAAAAAAAAACATCAAACGTCCAAGATGCTTATCGCCTTTTGCTCATTTTCTCTTCAGCTATCAAATTCTTCCCTCGTATGTGAGATGTAGTCAACCAGCCAAGTTGAGCTGATGCCAGACACTAAGTTCAAGATCCCTACATTCCCTCTTCAGTCATCCCTACAACTACATGGTATTTATTGCAAAATCTGTCTCGAAAGTATGTAGAATGTAGTCGTCCAGTTAAGTTGAGCTCATGCAGCAGCTCTTAGGCAAAGGGTTTCTTTGCATTCCTTACTAATTCCACTAGAAACTCCACGCAAAACGCCAATAAAAAAGCTACAAAGCAATTAGTGCAAAAAACAAATCAAGTTTTGTTAATTTCCTCTTCAGTGATTTTACAACTGTATTTAATGCAAAATCTGGCTCAAATGTTGGCCCCTCGTATATGAAATGCAGTCGGCCAGAATTCGCCTTTAAAGAATTCAGGAGCAAAAAGTGGCTTTGGATTATTTAATCGGTCTTTTGCCTTCGCTGCTTACTAATTCGCCTTAATCGTTATTTTTCCCTCTGGGAAAAATCTGGCAAGCAATTAGTGGAAAAATCGCAAAAAACCAACAGATAATTCGAATCGTTGCTCATGATAAAATCGACTTGCACTCTGAAAATAAAAAATTGGAAACAACGAATGGCAAGGAACAAAGACATGGAACAAGATTAATTATGGAAGAGTGAAAGAGTTCCTGGCTGAACTGCATCCGGAAATCCGAATTGATCGTGAAAAGACGACATTGTTCCGAAGCGATTAGCATTCATCTGGATGAACGGATATTGAATAAAACAACGAAGCTGGGGAAAAATAGAGGACGCCGTTAATTATTAATTATTACATGGAGGGTTTCACTTTAAGTTCGAGCAAAAAATTTAATTGGACTTTTCGAGCAGTTCCAAAGGTGCCAGCGACATTATGGAACCGATTAACTGATATTGGCCCATAAAGAGGCGTATGTGATCGCATTCCGGACGATAATATTATAATCTTGGAGAAGATCACGCCCTCTTTATGGCCCGTATTGTCGATGCCGTGCAGCCCGCATTTAAGCAACAAACGCGATTTTCACCCTCAACCCCGTACGCAAAAACGGTTGTAATTTGGAATAACCCGGAATCCAACTGAATAATGATTATTCTCCAACAAACGATGTTCTATCGAGGGCAAATTGTATCTCGAATGATAATTTGCGGGCGTGTGCGCTCGCTAGTCTTCCGATAATAATTAATCTTAGTTTCTGTTTTTCTTTGCCTTGAGCGCGATCTTTACTTCAATGCTCAAACACGGAAAGTGAGTTTAATTAGGGGGGCTGTTGTGGAACAAAACAGCCAAACGGAACTTGTACTTTTACGCTTCAAATGATCGAAAAAGGAAAGTGCAGAGTCGGGAGAAGACTTTGAAAGGATGGATGGGACTGAAAGTGAACCAGCACCAGAAAATATTCGAGCAAACAAGAAACCAGTTGGAATCAGGCAAAAATCGCAATGAATGTTTTTTCATTAAAAATTCCAGTTTCCCACTTTCAGTGAACAGCAAAACCATGCATGAGAAGCTCTATGATTTAATTGGCTGCAACTTGAAGTGGAGCAGTTAATTCAATTGACTAATTGTTTAACTGGGTGTTTTATCCAAATGTTCACTCATCTCGAAACCGCGAAAATTCTTAGTAAATTCGGGGGGACATTTTTGCATTTCTTCTTAAGCAAGTTTTAGTAAAGCCCTCGATTTACAGCCTCGACTGCAATAGTAATATACTTAAAACATCTGATTCATGGTTAACTAATGTGGTCTGGATGTCGCAGACGTGAGTTCACCCTCCGCCGTCTAAAACCGAACGTTCAAAAATAAACTCGACTTCTTTGTTGATTTGGAACAGATGTGTGAAGAAATAATGCCCGTTTAACCACAGCTATTCCACATTTTGCGTTACATTCACTTAAAAATAGCCAGCCCCATTCCAGCCTGATTTCCATCCATTTAGCTTCTAACATAATTGCCGGCAAGTTAATTAAACAAAATGGCCCTCAAAACTGCAACTGAAGTGAAACGGAATCCCTTTTAAGTGCAAAAGGTTTGGCTTTAGTCTACAAGTCCGCAGACTGTCTTGTATTTATGGCGCTGCTTCCTGGAAATATATGGAACTGGCATTCCAGAGGAAGCATGACTGAAAGAATTAGAGGCAAACGGAACTCCTGTGCTATTTTCTATGTTTGCCGTTCTTTTCAGGCTCTGAATAGTAATTACACTCGTAACTTTGCTCGGCTACTCATTCTAGCTATGCAGGCC